CTGGCTTTCTATTTCTTTGTGTTAGTGCTCCCCAAGCCGAATAAACATACTTGTGGGTCCAGTCTAGTCCACAGGGACCAAGAGCTTGTAGACACTTGCCTCAGGGTGTCTTGGGGTACTTATGGGTCAATTAGGGGACTCCCAAGGTACTCACAAGCCTCCAGGTTTCTCCATTAGTAAAAGTAAAAATTTTGTGTCATGTTTTCCCCAAAAAGGCAAAGGAAAAAACAATTTCTAAACCTTAGGGGGGGAAAGTAAAATTGCTGTTTAAAATGTTCCTGTGTACCCTAGAAAGCTGACCACAGATCTGAAGGGAGGGGAGGGCAGGGAAGGGGACCAGGGAAGGGGAGGGGATATTGGACTATGGTGGAGGAGGGTAAGTGCTTTGCTGGTGGGAGAACTATGGTGATAACACCTGAAAGAAGAAAACCTATATTATTAAAACACAAACAAGGATGTAAAATAATGGTACATCATTAATACAAAATGAATGAATGAATGAATGAACGAACAAAATGCAGTTGGATATTAGCTGACATTATGGAATTGTTCATTTCTCTGATGGTATTGTGATTACATTAGAGAATGTCTTGCTTTAGAAGACATGGAAGTATTTAGGGCTCTGTTGTCAGAACATATGATCTACTATGAATGGTTTATGGAGCTTGTAGGGGGGATCAGGGAGGAAGTGAACAGGGTATAATGTTAACTTTGAATCCAAAAAGTAGGTATTTGGACAGTGAGAGCATTATGCCTTTTATTTGCATGCTTAAAAATTTTCATATTAGGGGGCCCCCCTGGTGGCACAAGGGGTAAAGCACCACACTGTGAAGCAATCCTCAGCCTTTGCAGCACGAGTTCGATCCCTGGCCGGCCAGGGAGCAACCCACATGGCGACGCAGGCCTCTTCTGTCTTGCCCGCTGCTCCCCTCAGCAGTGTATTTCAGTCAGTCTGCCTGTTCTGTTCCCTGCTCTGTCTCTAGTGAATCCTCTCACCCTGCCCCCCGCATCTCTGGCCTGCACCCTGGTTCTTGTATGTATAAATAAACTTAAAAAATTTTTCATATTAAAGACATAAAAAGTCAAAAAATCCACATGCACAGTTATAATGTCAAAATATCATCTCACCCATTTCCTGCCATTTACCTGGGAGAAAAGTGATTGGAAAATGGAGAGAATAAAACTGGCCCACATTGGCCCAGAAATCCACATCCTCATGGCTGGTTATGGGACAGGGAGACACAGTGTCCTCTAATCAGGCAGCATCCCCTGCTCCTGTCCCAAGTACTTAAAGTGAATTTAATGACGCCTTTAGCTCCAACTTTAATATCCTGAAAACTCAGGAGCAAAACAACACAGTAAATGATGCCCCAGGAAACAGTCAGATATAATAAGTGAGACAAAAGACAAATTCAAAGTCATTTAAAAAGAGGAGAGGGGAGGGAATGTTCTAGAGTAAAAGGGGCCTTAGGAGACCTAGCAACTAAATGCCACGTGTGATTCTCAATCGAATTCTGGTTTAAACAGTCCAAGTGTAAACGGCATTTTAGGGGCAATTGGGGGAATTCAGATAATTGAGTAGGTAATGGAGTCCACTCAGCAATTATTGTTAATTTTGTGAAAATTGTACTGTGGTTAAAAAGGAATATGTTCTTGTTTTTTAGAGCTCCAGGCTGAACTGTTTAGAAGCTAAATGTCACAATGGCTATAATTCACTTCTGAATAGTTCAGGGGGGAAAAAGCAACAGATGAAGTACATGCAGCAAAATGTTAACTTAAATCCAGATAATGGGGAGCAAGGTGATCCAGCGCCACGGAGCTGTCCTTATGTGGCATGATGCCCTCCTCAGGTACCTCCACCAGGAGACACAAGGGCTTTCGGCCACGTTGTGCCAATCCCCTGAATGCATGTGTTTTCAATTTCCAATCACTAGTTGCCAAGAGAAAAAATGATAGCAACTCAAACAGGTATAACTTGTTGCTGAAAGCGTAACACAAAGAGACAACTGTGAAGACAGTGTCCTGTAGGAAAGCAAGAGCTTCCAGATTGTTTGTCTTAGCTGGAGTTGCTCAATTTTAAGGAAGAGCTTTATCATCTCAAATGCATCCTAAGTAAATCAAACGAAGACACAGAATATGACAGGGGACAAAAGGATGGAGATTAGATCTAAAACTTGGATTCTAGTGATCCTGTCCACTTACCGCTTAAGCCAATGACAAAAGGTTAAATGTCCTTAGATAGAAGTTTAATCGAAAAAGTACAGTTTTAAACTTGAAAAGAGAATCAAAGTTTAAAAAAAAAACAATAACACTTTAAGGTCTTAGTTAGCAAAGTACATCTGCTCAAGTTCTCATTACAGGATGATATTCAGTCAGTTCAAGGAATGATCAGTTACCACCAAATATTGATACAACAGCCAGTCCTTTCAATGTGCTTTTGAAGGTGCCTCATCCTCAGGTTTGGGTGGGACCCTCGCAGCCATCAAGTCCCCGGTCATGCCATGGCTGAACTTCTGTCATTCGCCAGGAGATCCACCTATCTTGGGAAGAGCACTGAAGTTGGATGGCCTGGACCCAAGAGGACCCGACACTCCCTACAAAATTGTGTCAACATGCGCAGATGACAAGCTCGCTGAACCTCAGTGCCCTCACCTATAAAACGGAGACAATCACTCCCTCTTCAGAAAGGTGAGGCGGACTCAACATCATGCCAAGGTCCACGCAGGGGCCAGCTGCCTGGTAAAGCTCTCAAAACCGTGTGCAAACAACATCTATGAAGAGCCTTGCTCAATTCACAGCTGTATAACCTACTGGTGGGACACTCACTTTACACTTACCTACTTTTTCTCACCTCAGTTTCTTTATCTGCAAATTGGAGAGAATAACAGAATGCCTGCTTCATGGGGCTACGGCAGAGTCAAATGAACATCTACATAAATAACTCAGACCTGCCTGGCACTCAGTACATACTCAATAAACAGGTGCTATTGGGATTCATTACCCGCTTCTCATGTCTCCCTTTGAGAAAGCATCAGTCACCCCTCAAACCGCAACATCATTTGGGCAAACACCAGGACTTGTCCCTGCCACATCAGGGCTCCCCAGAAGTCCAGTGTTATCTCTCTCTCGCTCTCTCTCGCTCTCTCTCTCTCTCTCTCTCTCTCTCTCTCTCTCTCTCTCTCTCTCTCACACACACACACACACACACACACACACAGGTGCAGCCCCAAGCCACTGCCTCCACCCTCCCATGTAGAAGGAAAGCCAGCCAACCACAGCACCCACCACATGCTCCCCAGCGCCCATCACTGTGTCTTTGGCTATAGCTGGTCCTAACACTGTGGGTTGCTTCAGGCCTTGACCTTCCAAGGGAGCCCAGGTGAGCCCCTGGACCTGGGGGTCTAAGTCCAAGTTTCTGAGCCGCCACAAAAGCGCATGCTCCCTCTGTGGGCCTGAGGTAGTAATTCTGCGTGAATATCAATCAATGTCAAACAGAGAGTTCCCTGCCAGCCATTCTGCTGACTCTCCCAGACTCTTTCCTGGCACCAGACCTTTTGCTTGCTCCCCTTAATGTCCTCGCCCACATCCATCTCTTATCTGAGACCTGGGCAGGCTTCCTCAGACCCTTAGTGTGCACTAGATGAAATGCATGGCCTAGCTAGCAGGGTGAGGGCAAAGAAGATGGCTGATGACTAATGGCACCTCCCTGAGAATTAGAAAAAGCTGCCCCTTCCTCCCGCTGGCAGCCCTGTGCCACCGCAAACTGTACATTGGATTACATTTAGTCAATTCAAGTCAACTTACTGGGCAACTGCCATGTGCCCCAGATCTCTGGGTTTGCACGTGGGAATAAGACAGGCTATGGCCTCTGAGCTCGCTGACTCTGCTTTGATGCGGCCCAAAAGGAGGCAGAAACTCAGGGGTCCACTCCAGCCCAGGATCGGTGGGGCAGTGAGGAGCCCAGAAGAGATGCTGCCACCTGGACAGGACCCCGGGGCCCCTGAGCAGCGCAGGAAGGGTGCAGGATTCCACACGGCAAAGCTAAGTGGCTGCACATTTCATAGCACACTCAGAGATGGGAGGATTTTCAGTGGCGGGGAAGGAAAGGGAAGAGGGAGGATGAGGTGCAATGAGGACCCAATTCATTCACTCTTTGACCAAGTCTTGAGAAGCTCCTGTGTGCTAAGGACTGTGTACAGTTTGGAGAATAAAAATAAGATCTAATCCCAGCCAGTAGAAGCCTGCCATCCAGTTTGGGGAAAATAGAGTTATAATTATAAAACAATTCAAGCATAAAGACAGCCACACAGGAAGCATGCAAGAGGGAAGGGCAGGCCAAAGAGGACAGGCCTGCTGGGCCTGACAGGGAGGCCTGCGTGTGAGAGATGACCACTACGCAGCAGATCTGCCCCGAATGTGAGGTGGGGCAGGGCGCATTCTCCAGACTGGGGACTGTAGAAGCCAAGACAGGGGCCAAGGGGCGTGTGCTACAGGCGGGGGTGGGGCTGCAGGGGAGCAAACCCCACCAAGAGGGCTGGGCACACCACTTCAGGGACTTTAATCCTCCACCTCAACAGGAGACTGGGACTATTCCTCAAGCAAGTGCAGACCAAAGCTTGCAGGTAGGAGAGTTACCTGCAGCAGGTCAGTGCCACAGTAAGAAGGCTCCATAGTAAGAAGGCTCCATGGAGGGTGGGGAGGGGTATAGACACGCCACCCACAGACACTGAGGCAGGATTCACCAAGGCCCTTCCTGGTGAATGGTGGACCAAGGATTCCCTGCACCTTGCTTTGTTATCTCATGAAAACGAGGGACCCATTTGCAAAGTGGGTACCCAGGCGTGCAATATTTCAACACAGTTTTACTTTGCCCTTGATGTTACTGGCCTTTTACACCTGGTCCACTTTTTGAAAGAGATTTTGCTCAGCTTTTTAAAACAACTTTTTTTAAATCGTGTAGCCTTTTTTTCATGACACGGGTCATTAACGATGAGACGTACTTGACTCGGCGTGGCTGCGGCCTCATTTACATCCTCTGTCCTGACGGCCCACTGGATTTAGCATTTGTTCCAGACAGAAGTGTCCCTGTTTAAATGACAGATTATGTGACTGCCCTTCTCCAGCCTCAGAGTACGGTCCAAAAGAAAACATCTTTCTCTGTTCCTGCTATTTTCCACCTAGTCCGACTGCTCAAATGTGCAAGCAACCGCTCAATTATCAAATCGTCTCTGAACAAAGTCTCCTTTAATACACCTAGACTGGAGGAAGCTGGAAAACGATCCCTGTTCTCAGCGCAGGACTGGGACGGAGAGCAGAAGAGAAGGGTATTCCGGGCACGGGCAGCTCAAGGGTAAATCAGCTGAGAGGTGGGCCTCAGCCCAGGGCCCCACCACCTCCAGTGCTGGGAGGGGGGCTTCAGCAGCCTCGGTGGGGGCCAGGCTCCTCCCAAGAGAGATGGAGGCTTTACTCTCCCCATTATGTTCACCCACTCCCTGAAGGACACATTCTATCCCCCCAACTCCAGTCTCCCCTCAAGGACCTCCCTATAAATACCACTCTCCACACACACCTAAGTCCTCCCCCACTTTCAGGTAAAGTGACCCAGAAAACTCCCTCAGAGGCAAAGGAGAGGGAGGCAGAGAGATCCAAGACTGTGTGGTTCCGTCCACTGCAAAGTTTTAGATGACGCTGCATGAAAGCCATCGATCCTTCTCTAGCCACTATCCTGTCAAGTACGGGGCCTACACCTACCCAGCCCTTCTGGGAAGGGAGGATGACAACAGAGGTAGAGGGAGCATGGGGAGCTTGCTGGCTTGGGGTTCAGAAGGACACAGAGCCAAGGGTCTTCTCGCTCCAGCGACAGGCAGTCAAGAATACTCACTGCCAAGCCTCTGCTCCCTCAAGACTGGGACCGCACCTGGGGTGCCCAGCACACACCACCTGGAGACTGACCACCGTTTCAACACTAACATCTGTGCCACACACAGCTTTGGAGGACCCCCCAGGACAACATGGAGAAGAACCCAGGGTGCTGGGGAAAGCAAGGCGCAAGAGGGTAGCCACTCCAGAGTGAACTGTCGACGTGGTGTGAACCTGCACCTGAGCTCACTCATTGGCAAATAGGTCCTTTAGAACTATGACATTTCACAGGAAGCTGGCACCTGAGGCACCTGAGGGAGGAAGGCACGCAGGGAGGATGGGGTGCTTGCTTTATTTAACCAGAGCATGAAGGACAAGACTAGGATTCAGAAGGCCTGGCTCATTTTCAAGCACTGGGCCCATTAAGGCAGAACGCTATTTCTCTTTCTAATGAGCATTTAAGGTATTATCAATATAGGTGACCCTTGAAGTCTGTGGGGTCAAAAATACTATACGTGCATTTTCTCTTCCTTATGATTTTCTTTTCTCAAGCTGACATTATTGCAAGAACACGGTATATTACACACAAAATATGTGCTGATCAACTACATAGGTTATTGGTTAGGCTTCCCATCAGGCTGTTAGTATTTATGATTTGGGAGACAAAGGTTTTATGTAGATTTTTAACTGCACTGAGGCTCTGTACCCTTAGCCCTATCTTTTTCAGGGGTCAGTGGTATTCCTTTGTGCCCTTTCTCTGAGCAATGACCCTGCCTCTCTTCACATAAATGGTAAAAGTTCAAGACTCTGCTGTGCTTGGTTCTTCAAAGATTGGGAGCCCAGTTCCATACTAATTTTAGCTTCAGATTTTCTTACCAGCCTGAGAAATATAATCTGTACTCATTTCACATTTTGATTTATGAAGGGTTTTGCATAAAATGAAACAAAATAAAATCAATGTTTTCCAAATCCAACTTCTTCCAAGCAAAGCTGTAAGATGCAAAGAGTATGTGGAAAGGCATTTTTGACATAAAGGCACAGTCTATGAGTACCATGCAAAAGTTGAAATCGAAAATCCAATTTGCCCAGTCTTGCTCTTGGTGCTCTGAAGCGGCAGGAGAAAGACACTAACATGTAAGATGTCTCTGTGTCCGCTAAATTTATGATCTGGTGAGCGACGAGTGAACTCAAGAGCATCAATGCAGCACATGGAATGCCCCTCAGTGTGACTCTGCCTCCCCACCACATCACCAGCAACTCAGGGGGGCCTCAAGGCCCCTGAGCTTGGGGTTTCCATGACAACTCATACAGCTAGTCCTCAGCCAATCTCCTGGGGCACAACTAAGTATGGAAACTCTTAGGTGTCTCTGTATTTAACTTGCACCAGCTGTACCTTTCTTCAGCATTTCTCTTGGTGCCATTTTAGAAAATGACCAATTTCTCTAATGAACAAAACTAAAAATGGGCACCGTGATAGGACAGGAAATAAAGAGGTCTGCCTACTAATGGCAGACAAGGGCTTGTTAGGGTATGCGGGAAACTGAGTTTACCTACACAGGAGGCTTGTTACTAAGAGTCCTCAGTGTCAGATTGAGGCACTGGCACCTGAGGACTCAACGGGCAATGGTACAGGGAACAGACAGGGTGGGCTCCGTGCTGTGAGAAAGGTGCTGGGGGGTGCTACTCCAGTCACTGTCCCAGCACCACCTGCTGCCATGACCTGGGCAAGGAATGACCTTTCTGGATTTAGGTTTTGCCAGCTAAGAAACAGGGGTGTTGGTGTAGAGAGCCTCTAATGTCTCCTCCACACCTAAAGTCTAAAGGGTCTTTGTTCCCCAATCTGTTCTGAAGCCTAGTTCCAAGTGGCTCCGACCTTACTTGGCTACGCAGCTCGCTGCAGAGAGCCAGGGGAACAGAGAGCCGTGGGGCTGTATAGGAATATCACATATAATACTCAAAAAGGCAAAACCCAGCAAGATCAGCCTGCTTCCTGCTGGTGCTGCTGTATAAGCCACAGAAAGTCACCGAAAGTCACCAAATTCATGCAAATCTCTTCATTCAGATTACTATACATGCCAAACAACATGAATCTCTCCTAAGAACAAAATGTCACTTTTATGTTTCACCAGGTTAGGCATTTAAAAAAAGAATAATATGTTAAAAGCAACACAGGCATATTACCAAACTGTATTTTTCTGAGAAAAACACAAATATGAAAACTTAATTTCTTCAGGAAATCTATCCCCATGAGGAAGCAGCCCACTAGCTGCTGTGATACCAGCTCAGGCCCTGCACGCAATACGTTCGCAGGACCAGACGCTGTGGAGGGGCTCAGCAGTCCTTGGCTCAAGAGACCACCAGGTGACTCGGGTGACTGCCTCAATTCAAAGTGTGCTCTTTGAACTCTTCAGAAGCTTGTAAAATAAAAACAAAAACAAACATACCTGGCTCCAAAGATGTCCTTCTTGGCGAGATCGATTCCAGAAACAACTTTCACTCTGAGAATACGGGACTCTCCCTGTTGAAGAGAGGAAAAGAGTGTTAAAATGGAGCTCCAACTGGAGGAAAGGATCCCTCCCCCAATGCAAAGTCAATGATTTCTCTTCAGCCCAGCACTGGGATACAAAACACATCAATCCAAGCATAAAGCATCCGCGATCTTTAGACCACAGATCACAAAGCAACATTCCAGCTCTAAAACCCCATGACCCCAGCAGCTGAAGCGATCCAGGTTAATTAAGCACCATTTAATGTAAAGTAGGTCATTCAGATCAATTCCTTCTGCCAGGAAAGGAAATATTGCCCAGTTGTACCAAGCATTCAAATACGAAACCACCAGAAAATACATAAGAAACCACCTAGATGTCCAAGTGCAGCAAGGTATCATAAATGGAATAAAGAATTCCTCCTTTGATAAAATAAAATAAAACTGAATTCCTCTTTTGAAGCTTATATGTGTGTATATGTGTAGAAAGAAATGTAATGTGGTAACATAATTCCTCAAAATGATAGTTTCAAAGCACTGGTGCTAGCAAGTAGAAATAACTCTGCAGTGCTAGTAAAAATCAGTAGCAGCATCCTAAATGGAAATCATCCCAAACCATCTCATTCATTCATTCATTCATTCATTCATTCACTCATCCATCTGCTTATTCATTCCAGTACTCTCTAGAGAGCCACTATGCACAAGGCACTTGAGGTGGGCCTGGAAACACACGCATGAGCATTCTCAGGGTCTGCTGAGTGACGAGCAGAGCGAAGGGCCCTGTTGGGGAACATTTCAGGACTAAGACACTGGGACAGATGAAATGGCGTAGGGGGAGGTGGCAGACAGAAGGCTGGGGTGACGCTCAGGTTCCCAATTAATGCCACTAAGCGCTAGCATAAACTGCAATCAGGGATTAAGTGGGATAGAAGGTGTCTTTGAAACAACCTGGTAGAAAAGAAGAGAGATGGCAATACAGATAAATGGGAGAGCTGGAGAGGTCGCTGTGCGTGCGAAGTATCCGGAAGAGAAGAAAAATGGACCAGGATGGAGCCTTTGGGAACACGAGCACTGAGAAGCAAGAGACCAGAAGTGCATCTGCTCGATGCATTTAATCAGTATCCAGGGGAGGGAACAAAAACCTAAATGACTCTTGGATTGTGGAATGTCCAGGGTGCTAAAGACAGAGGGCCGAACCACACGGAGAGCAGGGTGCTGCCGGGACGCAGATCAAGCACGCGTGTGCTAAGCTCTTTTACTCTGCAGGATTCACTCATCCCTGACCCAGGGCTGCCCGCATGTGCACCACAGCCCGGGCTGCAAACCCACTAAACATGAGGTTTCACACCCCTGTGCGCTTAGGATGCCCGTTCTACGAAGGCCTACGTGCATGTTGGGCAGGATCTGTAATACTGTGTTTCAAGAAAGACCCCTCGACAGCTTAACTGTCTCCAAACGTGTGCCAAGCTCCCTGGCTCAGCTCTCTCCCCTGATCTGTCTCTCGTAGGCTCACAAGCCTGGAAGGATCCTCAGCACAGGGTGCATCTAGATGAGGCTCTTTCTGTTTCTCACAGCAAGCTGTGCCCCACTGCCAATCTTGTGACATCTCCCATAGGCTACTTAGCCTTTTAATCCCACTGAAAACTGAAGCAGTTAGCTCCCCTCCTATATGGTGTAATCCCCTCTTAAAGTAAACGCCAACTATCCACACAGGAAAAGACCTAGAAAGGACAATGTAACAGTGACCACCTCCGGATCATGAGTAACTTCTTTCTGCTTATTTTTGTCTTTTTCCTTTTGAAACATTAAATATTTTTGTTTGGAAATGATGTTTTTGTAGAAATTTCAGAAAAATATATATAAGGATGAAAAAGAAATGAACAACTACAGGTTTTTAGGACTCCAGGCTTCCGTTTATCTAAAACCTAATTAAAATCTAACCCTCTTTTGTCACAAGAATGACAGACCGCCAAGTTATATTCTAGTCATTTCACAAAGATGCAGAAAGGGAGAAAGGGCTCCCTATGTAAGATCTAAGCAACAGCTGGCAGGTGGAAGGAACAGAGGGCCTTTATGGAGCACTTACTGTTTACCAGCAGCTGTTGCAGGAAATCTCTCTCTCAAGTTAAGGGGCATGGGCGCAGGAAAGAGAATATCGCTCTTTCAAAACATTTTTCATACATGCATTTCAGACATAGAGCAAAAACTTCTTATCTGTGTTTGCTCCAAATAACAAGTTTGCATATAGATAAGCCACCCCCAACCCTCGTCATTCTGTAAGGAAGCACATGACCAGGTGTGTGTGACTAATTTATCAGATGCGATGGGCCCCAGGCCGAGCAGTTGTACTTTCTGGAGCATTTTATTACTTTCATAAAATCTATGCACGACATTTTGGTCTCTGGTTATGACTCCAGTAGAATTAAATATTTAACCAAGGTGGATTATGACAGTTGAAAATATTATTGGAGACAGACTGTACAAGGCAGAGAAAGCACAGGAGGAGAAGAGGCGAGGCTGAAAAACCAGACAGTTCCACGAATTTCGGCTCTCTTCCTGTTATTGTTAACCTATTCTTTTGCATTGTTGTTGCATAACAGGGACATTACTGTGTGTTGCTTTTCCACATCATTTTCTTTTTCTTTTTTTTAAAGATTTATTTTATTTATTTATGTATACAAGAGCTGGGGTGTAGGCCAGAGGTGTTGGGGGGTAGCTTAGGCGGGTGAGAGGATTCACCAGAGACCGAGTGGGGAGCAGAACAGGCAGACTGACTGAAATGCACTGTTGAGGGGAGCAGCGAGCAAGTCAGGAGAGGTCTGCTGCGCCATGTGGATTGCTCCCTGGCCAGCCAGGCATCAAACTCATGCTGCAGAGGCTGCGGATTACTTCATAGTGTTGCGCCACCAGGAAGGCCCCTCCACATCATTCCCTAACTCTTCACCAAGACATAGAACAAGAGAACACCAGCCATAAATGACAGTGACACAGAAAAGTCCCAGCTTACAAACGAGGCTTCATTTGGAAGACAGTTGTCTGGGACTCAGCAGCCTCCTTATATAAGCCACATAAGTGGTTACCTGGTTGCCAGCCCCACCCACCAAGGCTATTAAATACGAATCCATCAAAATTGTTCAGGTGGTAAAATAAATGTCAAGTTCCAACTCAAAACTCCAGATAGTAGGATTTTCCTTTTGTCTTATGAATCTTTCTTGAGAAGGTAACGCTATTATTTTACCCTCATTCTTCACAACAGCAATTATCTGCTCCTTTCCCCTCAAAGAAAAAAGTGATATCTCTGTTGGGAAATAGTATTCTTCCTCCACAGGGATCCACTGCGCCCCTTGGCATCACCAACATCACCGCCCATGCGGACAAAGAAATCCTAAGTCAAGAACTTGCACGCCTCGGTCATTTTCTGTAAATTAATTTATGTGTTTACATTTCATATTCTGCTGAATATTTATAGTTCTAGCTATTACCCATGACACTGCTGCCTCCCAGTAAACATGTCCTGGATTCAATGAGATTGGTTAGCATTTTCTGTCCCACCGACATGTCTAAGCTACAGACGCATCCATAACTTTAGCTGCTTTAAAACCTAAGTCACTAACCTGCAAAGTACCCGCACTGCCTGCTGCACTGTAGATGCGTTCATCTCCCTACTCCCACCGACTCCTGCCCCAGCTGCAAGACAGATCTGGGTTCATGCTCGATATTCTCCTACCCCATCCCACCGACCCCATTACTTCACGCCACACTCCTGTCACCTCCAACTCTGGCTATACCCTGTCCTCTTTTTCCCACCCCAATTCCTGCCTCTAACCCTCTCTTGATGGGTTGCCTGCTGCCACTCCGTAACTTTTCTCTCAAGTTCTCCACCACTCTGACCTTGGAGTCACACCATCAGCAAAGAGGTGCTATTACGTGCATGGCATATGCTAGGAAAGGAGCACAACACTGAACAAGAGACAGTAAGCTCTTTCCTCGGGGGCTTACAAGCAACCTCAGAGGTTAGATGTGCAAATGCACAGACGGTACTTGGAACACAGGGGTAGGACTGAAGCGCAGATGTGTTTGGGGAGAACAGAGCTGCGGGTGGGAAATGAGAGGTGCCCAACACAGGGGCTGCATGCTCAGCTCAGATAACACTGTTGATAGCACCACCCCAACCCGCGGGACCACCCACCACAGCTGCTCACCACTGGCACCCCAACACGTAACACCCTAAACAGTGGAAAACATGGAAGGGAAAAAAATCACAGAAACACAGGATGCTGTGACACCAACATTTAGAGGACGGCCCTCCAGCAGGAATGCTTGAGGTGACCAACTTCCAGGAATTCTGTTGTGTGGTTTCAAAATATGTGCATGAATCCTTGACATTTCTCTCTTTAAGAGGAAGGGTTTAATTTCCCTTCATTGCTGGGGGTTGGACGTAGTGACTTTATTATAATAAGAAGAATGTGGAGCGCAGCGGTTGAGCGCTGGGTTGCGAAGCTGCCCACAGCCTCCGTTCGATTGCTCAAGAGGATCCCACATGGTGCGCACCTCTCCTGCCATCAGCAAAACCCTCCCGCGCTGACTGTACCCAGTGCATGCATGAAGAATGTGGAGGAAGTGACTGCGTGTTCATTTCAAGAGAAGGTCATAAAAGGCACTGGGCCTCTTCTCCCCACCCCCCCGACACCAGCCACTCTCTCTCCACTCACTCGGGGGGAAATCAGCTGTTGCTATGACGTCAGGAC